TTTTCCACACAAAAAGGAAAGGGAAGGTTTGTAACAAAGCGTTTTAATTAAGATAATCCATCAGATATACAGGAGGATGGGCCCAAACTCTTTTCAGTGGTGCCCAGTGACAGGACAAGGGGCAATGGGCACAAACTGAAGCAGAGGAAGTTCCAGCTGAACATGAGGAAGAACTTCTTCCCTCTGAGGGTGATGGAGCACTGGAACAGGCTGCCCAGGGAGGCTGTGGAGTCTCCTTCTCTGGAGATACTCCACCCCCGCCTAGACGGCGGTGCTGTGCAGCCTGCTCTGGGTGACCCTGCTTCAGCAGGGGGTTGGGCTGGATGATCCCCAGAGGGCCCTTCCAACCCTGAACATTCTGTGGTTCTGTATGTAAAAATTCTTCTCATGTACAAAATAATACACGCACGCAAGTAGAAAACACGCTGGAACACCAGCGTCCGTGTGCTACATCACGCAAACAGATCACTCACTTCGCTGTCACGAAAAGGAGCAAAATGCTCCACGGTGAAGTGCAAAAAAGTCCTGTAGTGAGTGACATCACCTCCCCAGCACAGAAATTTCTTTGCAGAGCTTGTCAGGTGCTGCTTTCTGTGTGTCCTCTGCCTGGGCAGTTCGTTAAAAACTGGTGTAGCCATGGTTACGGTCACCCTGCATCTCTGCCCCCTCTAACCCACGAGGGATTCCAGTAACCTCCAATAAGGATGACAGAACCGCAACCAAGGCCATTCATTTTCTGCAAATTCTCTTCTACTGCCTCTCTGAACATGGAACCCTCCATGATTTTCCCAGTTTGGGGATAAAAAGGCATTTTCGTCAATGAATACTGACTTTGGTGCAGAAGAGACGATGCAGAGAACAGGTCTGTTTATCTCCACTGCTGAGCATGAGTCATTCCTCCACCGCAGCCTTCTCCACCAGTTCTTGTGCTTGCACTTATAAAGCAGTGGCTGGTTTTAATTATCAACAGGGAAGCACAGAAAGACAATATACAATTTGCCTCCCTCTGAAGTGATTCAGAGAAAAGAGACTAGGGAAAAAACAGGCTTAGACAAGGCATGAAATACAGCAGTTCAAATGATTCCCTGCACCCTCCTTTCACTACACAGTTTTTATGTGTATGCTGCACAGCAGCAAGTGTTTTATGCATAAGATATAATTATAAAACAGAAAAGAGACGATTAGAATCTCCTCAGTTTGAATTACGGTCTTCAGTAAACCTTTTTTTTAGCTTGTACAACATGCAGAGACCTTACATTTCCCCACACAAACTGGTGACACAGATGAGATTATCATTAAAATGACGAGCTTTTAAAAGCTAGTATTGGAGAAAATGTGTGATTTTACCTTGGCTTTAGTAAACAGTAAACCTCTTATTCCCTTATAGAAAACGTTTCCCAGTTTGCATCAAAGATACTTCAGAAGAAATATTCTAAAAAACAAATGGTATAAATGCTTTTCGATGCTTTGGGTAGGAGCTGAAGTTTTTCTGATAGAACTCGTGACACAAAACCGCAGCCAGTGCCTGGTTAAAAAGAACATACATCACTACACACCACCACGTCACGTTGTGAAATCCAAGCGTGACGGCCAAAGACACGTATATGAGGAGCTCTGCAAAATAATGAGGGCAAGAAACTCCCTCAAACCAGTCTCCGAAAGGTACGCTGTGGCTCAGACTTACGACCTTTCCTGCAAGCAAACAGAAAGAAATTAGTTGAGAACAACATGCATTAAACAAACTTTTCTACTCACAGTTACAGAACAACGTGCTCACTGAAGTTATCATCATCATCATCATCCACCTCCACCTGATCTGGCACCTTTGCACTTTGTAACGAAAGAAGATGCCACCTCTGGCTGTTTGTGCAAACAAAGAGTAGCACCTATTTTTAGCTCTCACGGAGACAGAAGTGAGGTCCCTGAGCAGTGGCACAAGTCCTAAGCATTAGCACTTGCCTGTCCTTAGGATACTAGAAGCCAGACCTTCCTAGTTCCTAGAAGGAAGAAATTCTTCCCTCTGAGGGTGACGGAGCCCTGGCCCAGGCTGCCCAGAGGGGCTGTGGAGTCTCCTTCTCTGGAGATATTCAAGACCCGCCTGGACAAGGTCCTCTGCAGCCTGCTCTGGGTGACCCTGCTTCAGCAGAGGGTTGGGCTGGATGACCCACAGAGGTCCCTGCCAACCCCGACCAGTCTGTGATTCCGTGATTCTGTGATTTTAAGTTCTGTAAAACTACGTATACTGAGACACAGACACACACGCCCCACCGACTCGGCCATCTGACCTCTCTTCCAAACAGCCTCGCTTAATCTACTGGAAGTCTTACAGAGAGCACCACACTGAAAAATACTCATGTTTTAAGGTTTTAGAAGCTACAGAAGCCTACCGAAACAACCAGGAACAATTTATCTAAGTGAAGTGTTGGCAGAAATGAAGACTCTTACCTGATTTACTTTTTCTAAGGTTAGCTAGAATCACGAGACACCTGTGCTGGTGATGAGAGGCCCAAATGTACATCACAACTCCAACAATGTGATACCAGGAGATCTGCATGGAAAGCTCTTTTCCTGAGTGAAATACGTTCTATTATTATACGGCCAGGAAATGCCTTCCCAAGCACCATCCCAAAACACTGTACACCTTTTCAAATGTTACTGGCTTACAAAATTCTAGCAGCGAGCCTCTAATCCCTTGAAAGATGCTTTTAAATCCTGCATCATCACAGTGCTCAGCTGGTAGTTCATTTCCCTTAACTGCTCTATACTAAAAATATCTAGTCTTTAATCCAGTAGCTTGAGGTACAGCATGAGGTACAGCAGATACGTAGTCTAAGACCACAATATTCAACACTGTGGTGCATCAAGAAGAGTGTGGCCAGCAGGACGAGGGAGGTTCTCCTTCCCCTCTACACTGCCCTGGTGAGGCCTCATCTGGAGTACTGTGTCCAGTTCTGGGCTCCCCAGTTCAAGAAAGATGAAGAGCTACTGGAGAGAGTCCAGCGGAGGGCTACAAGGATGGTGAGGGGACTGGAGCATCTCCCCTACGAGGAGAGGTTGAGGGAACTGGGCTTGTTCAGCCTGAAGAAGAGAAGGCTGCGAGGGGACCTTATAAATGCCTACAAATATCTGCAGGGTGGGTGTCAGGAGGATGGGGCCAAGCTCTTTTCAGTGGTGCCCAGTGACAGGACAAGGGGCAATGGGCACAAACTGAGGCACAGGAAGTTCCGTCTGAACATGAGGAAGAACTTCTTCCCTCTGAGGGTGACGGAGCCCTGGAACAGGCTGCCCAGGGAGGCTGTGGAGTCTCCTTCTCTGGAGATATTCCAGACCCGCCTGGACAAGGTCCTGTGCAGCCTACTGTAGGTGACCCTGCTTCAGCAGGGGGTTTGGACTGGGTGACCCACAGAGGCCCCTTCCAACCCCTACTATTCTGTGATTCTGTGAATTCTTATCATCCTAACTGAAGTCGTTGTCATGGCTCAGGTCGACACAGAAGTACACAGTTTTTTGTCTGGTTCACAGTGAGTGAAATACGTACGCACATCCACACACACGTGCACAGCGTGAGCCACTTAGGCCTTCAGAAAACTGTTGCCTATATTAAGGACGATTTCCAACGTACAAGCCAATACGCCATCTCTAAGAATCTACAAGATGCGAAAAGCAGAAGACAGGTCCAGAAAGAAAAAGGCTTTATCTACACATAGGAGAGCTGAAGGTTCTTTTAAAAAAGTCACTGGACTGAACTACAGCTGACGTGGCTGGAAATGGTTAAAAACCTCACTGAAGTCACATACTTGGGAATGGCCACCTTCGAAAAATCAGTCACGGGAGAAGTGCTAGAACCAGCTCACGGTTCACCTGTGCAGGGGCACAGCAGCTCAGCTGTGAGACTCAGTGGAATGTGATGGCAGAAACAAGTCATATAATTCAAATTTCTGCTGTGTTAATGGAGACATTACAGCACTGAGGGAAAGAAGAGACTGACTGGTGCCAGGCAGAGCAGTGGCGAGTTCTCAATGGAAAACAAAGGAGCAGGCCAAGGCAGCGTTGCAGACCCATCTCACGGGAAAGCTTACAGCAAAAACCCAACCTCCAGTTTGAGAACTGAAGGTGCGTAGTGGCATTCGAGAACTGGTACCTACTACTGTCCTTCACAAAGCATACGTATCTCAACGCAAAACTGATCGGTCATGATCTTGAAAGTATCTACATGAGATGTCTTTCAGGCAAGAACAGCGATGGTTAACATGGAAGTGTGTGTCAGTGTCTGTGTTTGTGTGTAATGCTGGTTGATCATACGATATGCTTGCAGCCCAGAAGGCCAACCGTATCCCGGGCTGCATCCAGAGCAGCGTGGCCAGCAGGGCGAGGGAGGGGATTCTGCCCCTTTACTCCGCTCTCGTCAGACCCCACCTGGAGTCCTGCGTCCAGCTCTGGAGCCCCCAGCATAGGAAGGACATGGATGTGTTGGAGTGGGTCCAGAGGAGGCCACGAAGATGATCTGAGGGCTGGAGCACCTCTCCTACGAGGACAGGCTGAGGGAGTTGGGGCTGTTCAGCC